TTGAATTGAGAAAGAATAAACTAGTTTTATTTGAGAAAGGACTTGTATCGCTGAAGTTCTTCAGAAAGAATTTTTACAAGTAATTAACAAACGACCAGAGACGTAACAATATGTTAAAGTAAGACTAACAATAGAAAAGGAGATAAGAATAATAACTTATTCCGCCAAATCGTGGTTCTAAAGTAAATGAATCAGCTTGAGTGCACTTTGACAAAAGACACAAAAGATATTTTGAAGAAAGAAGACCAAACGATTACGGTAACTCTCGCCACAATTGTAAGTGAATCACACACAGAATACTAGTTCGATAGTAATAGAAAATAGTTCGGCTTGTCAACTGAAATTCTAAACCAACTGAATAGGCCTAAGTTGATTTTTTAAAAGAAGAAGAGAACTATATATAGTTTTTATAATATGTCTATAATCTCTTTAGTGTGAAGAATTTATTGCACATATTTTTATCTTGTTCCGAATATATATATATATATATTATTTTCAAAAGAAGTGAAGTACGTGCTGTTTATTTATCGTTCAGTTTATCGCCAACAAGTCCCAGACACCTACTGTAGAATAATCCTTAGCCCAACAACAACACAGTAAATATTTATACTATTAAGAAGTATAAGTAAAAGCCTTTTATTTTGACAATTGGCAAAAAGATTGTATATTTCAATTCTGACAACCACTATAACATCCCATAATAGTTCGAACACTCTACCATCCTATAATAATTAAAACTACCCTGAAACATTCCATAATAGTTTAAAAATCACCCTATAACGTCCTATAATAGTTTTAAAAAATCACTCTATATAACATCCCATAATAGTTAAAGAAAAACACTATAACATCCCATAATAGTTAAAACACTAACTTTCCATGGTAGACATATTTCTTTTCTATCTAGTTTTCGCATAAAAAGATGCGCGCACGCTAGTAGATATGTAGTAATACCCAGGTGCATACCCTCAGGATCCACTTACTATAGGTGCAAAATTTTAGATCTGTAGGTTCTTTGCTCTTGGAGCTATGATGGTCACATATTATTTTCTATGTGTTTTTCGCCAGCTTGCCTCATTAAAAAGATGCGCACGCGCATGCACGTGGATAAGTAATAATACCCATGTCCACTTGGTATGTGTGCGAAATTTTAGGTTTCTAGGTTCTTTCCTTTTGGAGTTATGGCGGTCACACACACACACACACACACACAGAACTACAGACACGGCCTTTTATTATTATAGATTATAAAAGTAACTAAAAATTAAAAATTTTAAGCTAGATAAGGTTAAACTAGGTAATACAAATAAAAATAATGATAATAATAGTAAAAGTTCTCAACGAGATACACTCGCTAGGACTAACAGCTCACGAGTAGCACGAGTTTTATGCAACTTGATTAGTGTAAAATTTGCTTCATGTTACAGCGTATTTTGAAACTTTTTATGATGGGAATTCTAAAAATCACGTCCCGAAAGGCAAAAAAAAAACAATAACATTTAATTAGAAACCCCATCAGAGTAATTAAAAGTGATACGCGCCGAGTGTTGTAAAATATTGAACATGATTGCAATCAACAACGACCACACCAGTTAATGTTTATCGTCAAGAACAACAACAAAACAGACAGCGGGCGGTCGTAACTTGGAAAGTCAACAATGGCCTCGGGACTGATTTCAGTGGCTATAGTATGGAATAGAGGAGTGGTCGGCCTGGGGAAAGATTTTATAATGGTAAAGATAGGCAAATTGTCGGGACTGAGTAGTCTTCTTGCGGAGATGGTCGCTCAGGGAGAGTCTACTGTATTTTCTATAAATCACAGACACAAGTTAAACCTGATTCAAAACACAACTCTTAAAAATGCGTTCTAATAATTGTTTCGACAAACCCTACAAAAAATGTTATCTACGCTTAGTTGCCCCTCCTTTTAGACTGACAGACTAGGGGGGAAGGCAGCCACTCAACAACACCCACCGCTAACACTAGAGTTTCTCTTGTATGACAGAATAATAGGATTTGGCCATCACTCCTTCAACGAACCCTCACATGAGAGCGCGATTTTTGATACCATTGCCTTATCAAAGGTGTCTTATCCACTGCTTAATTTTTTTTACTGTTTGTCATGGTCATTTGATCGATACTTCTAACCATAAAGCCACGCCCAGCATGTTAGTAACATTGATTTTGTAACATTGTTTTTACCATACAACGCTATCAGTTAAATATATAGTATGTACAAAAGTTTCTAAAGCTCGAGCTCTTGGTAACAAAATATTCAAGATTAAATAATAATGAATTACAAGAATGTTTTAACATAGAAACAGGAAGATGAAAGAGGCGCTCAAATATATAATTGATTTGTTCCACTGCTGTTCCTGTACCAGTTAACTATAAGTCGGCTAGATTTTAACAAACAGCCCAAGTTTCGAATAAACCTATTTAAAAATTTCATTTGATAAGCAATTTTACATTAGCTACGAATTTATACTGACTGTCAATCCTATTTTAAGTGCCTTAAGAACGGTTACTGTTGAGTAACCTTATAAGACGCATGATAGCATTTACAAACATACTGTTACGTCTCCGTTCGTTAGTTGATTCCCGTAACTTCGTTCCGACGAAACTTTAGC